ATCTTCCACATTACTCCCTGCACTCCCCTCCAGTGTCTGAGGTACTAGAATTTCCTTGGATTACTGTTAAGGGGAGGAAGATTCCTGAAAAACTGAGTGTCGCTGGTAGACAGCATCCCAGAAGAATCAAAACCCAACTCTCAAAGCTTCTTTATACTGGACAACGTGACAGAGCCTGCACTGGCCCACAGTTTGTTGTTGTTGTTGAATGTCAGTGTGGAAACAGTGTAGGTATCCTTCAACACATCAGCAGGACTGGGAGTGGGAAGCAGTGGCCTATTTGAGCAACAGACCATGGTTTCACAATAGAAAAGGAGTACGTGATGAGACACTCTGTGGTATGGATCTTAAAAACATTAGGCTGAGTGAAAGGGCCAGAGACAAAAGGATACACACTGCCTAACTGCATCTAAATGAAGTTGTGAAATCAGACCAGGAGGTGAACTGTCTGGGGAGGGACAAGAGCCATTTTCCAGGGTTGGTGGACATGTTCAGTATCTTAGCTGCTATCCAGGACTGTTTGGTAATTAACAATAAGCATCCATAACAATTATGGTCAGGCTGACATTAGAGTATACTCATATTTTTTTTTCTCAATGAAGAATATTACTCTAGAACTGCTTTTGTAAAAATATATGAAATGTACACGCACACACACACACTCCTTGTTTAAGTTCCTGTATGCTTACTAGAGCTCTGTTTCTGTAGAAGTGGCATCAAGCTTTGCTATGTGTTCACAGACCTTTCTCTTGACCAGTGTACTGTGAGAATCTAGCCATGGCCCATCCTTTAAAATCACAGTTCTACATTTCACAGAATTGTCTCATCCAGCAGTAAGGCTAATACTGAGTCCCCATTGTCATGAACTGTTCTCAGCGCAGAGGGATTCTCTAGATGAACAAAGCACAGTGCTGGGCCTCCTAGCAGTTCCCTGTTAGTGAGAAAAGACTAGAGAACAAATGTGTGTTTTGGCAGGTGGTTAGCCCAGTGGGGGAAGTGAAGCTTGTGGCTAGCATCCTAGCAGTTGGCATCTGTGTGTACCGGAAGGCCTCCGGAGTGACACCTGACCGGCTAATGAGGCCTGTTGACACCTGGGAAAGAGCCTTCCAGAGGAGACAGCAGGTGCAGATGCCCACAGGCTGATACGTGCTGCTGGTTTCCCAGGAACCAGCAGGTGGCAGAGCTGCAGTGGGAGGGACAGGGGCAATGTGGTGAAAGATGGACTCAGAGCAAGCTCTGGGAGGCAGGGCAGAGACATTGTCCTGATGCTCAGTGAGGTCCTGGAGGCCCTGGGGGCGGGAAGGAAAACCACCCTCTGGCTTCAGTTTTCTCTGGTTCACTTTGGCTGATGCTCTGCTTCCAGTCCAGCTTCCTGCTCACATGCGTGGGACAGCAGCAGCAGATAGCTAAATATGTGGGTCACTGTCACTTCTGTGGGACACCTAGATGGAGTGCTATCTAACTCATCCTGGCCCTGCTATCCTCAGTCTTGGCCATGACCTCCAGGTGAAATAGAGAGCTTCACTGGCTGCACCAGATGTCTAACCGAAGTATGGCTCCTGGTGACAGAGCAATTATAGCTACTTGACACTCAGTACAATGTTCAAGATTAAGGCCAGCAGGGCCAAAATGAGCCAAGACTACTCTATGGAAGGAATCATTTTTTTCTCATTAGAAAAGAAATAATAGCCCCCTCTATGCTAGCAATTCCTCATTCCCTTTTCTGTAGAGCACAACAAAACTATTCATAAATATAAGTGATTTGTGTGCAACATGTACTGAAGGCTGGCATAAATGAAACATTTGGAAACACAAGTTTGAACACATGCCATTGATTCATGGACAGGGCCCGATGTGGTAGCCTAGTGGCTAAAGTCCTCACCTTGCATGCACTGGGATCCCATGTGTGCGCCGATTCTAATTCTGGCTACCCTGCTTCCCATCCAGCTCCCTGCTTGTGGCCTGGGAAAGCAGTAGAGGACAGCCCAGGGCCTTGTATCCTTGCACCCATTTGGGAGACCTGGAAGAAGCTCTGGGCTCCTTGCTTCAGATCAGTTCAGCTCTGGCCTGTTGCAGCCACTTGGGGAGTGAATCAGCAAAAAGATCTTTCTCTGTCTCTCCTTCTTTCTGTAAATGTGCTTTTTCCAATAAAAATAAATAAATATTTTAAAAAAGATTCATGTACACTGAGTTTGTTTAATTGTAACAAGTGTATGAGCTCAAACAACTGGGAAAGTTTTTGTACTCCAGGCCATTTTGTACTAGAAGTTGACTTCTCTCTCCTTTAAAATGGTAACTGCAACTTTAAGAAAAATCATTAGCATTTGACAAAGAACCTGCCCAAGGTCTAGTTTGCCTCTTACACTAGCTGACTGATAAGAGAATAAAAACTGTGACCTTTGCCTTAAAAAACTGTGCACTGTTTAACCCTGATGGTGGCCACAGTGATGGGGCTTGGGAGCAAATTATTTCCAGGGAAAATAGAAACCAACCTCCAACTCTAAGGTGTGCTGTTTCATCTCAAACAACTGGCTCACCATTTCCTGCCCTGTTTATCTCACTGCTTGTTTTTAAGAGTAAAGAATGTATGTCAAGCACAAGCTGTAACATTCTAAACTTCCCTGCAGGTGCCACACATGAATTAAATGGGACCATGCACATGTACACACAACAGTGCATGACCCAGTATTGTTCTAAGTTAGAGGATAATCTAGTGTTACACTTGTAACAGTCTCAATAGAAGAGAATGAAACGTTAGATGTCAAGATTGCTGAAGCATCTATGCCTTTATCTAGTGATAAAAGCACCAGGTTAGACTGCTTCTTTGTCCTGCATATAAAGAAAAAGACATGAGAGTCCTGAATTGGAGACAGACTTCCTCACTCAAGGCAGCTAGCACCAAAAATGGCAGTATTTCTTCCTCTGGGCTTCCCCCTTGCCCTCCCTGTGTCCCTTGGAGACTATCTGAAGGAATCCAGATTATAAAGTGAGTTTGTTTCTTTGCCATGCAATGCTGAGCTTGGGGGGTTTTGATACTTGAGTAAGCAGAACCAACCAACCTTTTCACTGGGGGGGGGGGGGGGCAGATATGCTGTTTGACTCCAGGTGGCTCACTACGAGCAAAATCCATACACATGACCTGGGCAACAGCAGGCAGGACCTGGAATCACTGGCATACCCAGCAGAAAGTGCCAGGATGGAGACTCAGGTTCCCTGGCAGACTGCCTCTCCCAACAGTTAGATGGAAGACAATCTGAGATTTAACTGCAAGTCTGGTTATTAAGTAGAAAGGAATGGTGCAATGCATCCGTAGCAGGGTGAATGCCCAGGCCTTCCCCAACAATTCCTTAACCTGTAAATCCAACGCATCATATATTATGCAACTAGAATTGTAATGATCTCACTTAGAGGCTATGGAAGAGCTTCACGCTGAAACAACAGGCCTGACTTGAGAGACTGGGCTGCATCTTAGGTGAAGCACCCCTTCCAGCTGTGATACTATAGCCTGGTCAAGAAAACTGCATTCTGCTTGACAAGAATGCCCGAAGCCCGGCTAGGCTGTTCAAGCATGTCTAGGAGAACAAAGAATTTCACCTGGTACAGTCACAAAGGCTTGCGATCCCTCTTGGTTTGTGGTTTTTGCCTTTAAAACCCAGCTGTTCTGTAGTTTGGGGTTGAGAGGTCTTTGGGGCATGTCTGCACTGGCGGCAATAAAGGACTTTTCAATCTTATCAGTGTGTGCTTTTCCCCTGGCTTGGCTCACTTGGTACAATAACATTATACACATTTACAGCTTCGTGGCAGGAATTATGTCTCAGGAGCTCCAACGCACTGGACACGGTGGCACTCAAATGCTGAGTGAAGGTCTACTTTCCTGACTTCCTATTCCAATTTCTCAGAATGAGGTTCAAAGTATTAGAGCAGAGAAATATCCTCAAACCACTGTGGTCCTCCCTAAGCAGTGTGGCTTGGTCCTGGGGAGGCTGAAGGTTCTGTGCAGACCCGAGACTGTAATGAGCACCAATGAGAAAGGCTTGCCAATGTGACATTGAGCCATGGCCAAGTGAGCTGGTGGACTCAACACTTTTGTCCTCTAATATGGAGGAAATGAGGTGGGAGCCGAATGGTGGATGTCTACTTCCAGGGGGACTTCATGTTTTCTCCTGCCACCAAGACACGCCTGGACACATCCTTCACTTCACTCCACTCCTAAAATCAGCATTATCAAGGTAGAGCTTGCAAGCCACACGTGGATGATAACTATTTTTTCCTACCAGTTATCCTTAGTCTGGTTTTTAAGGATGTACACAACTTGTATCAGCTTTGTACAGTTCAAGTTGCCCCTTCAACTGAAGCTATAGTAAAGCTGCCTGTTGATTTCTTGTTGGAATTCTGGGAGAGAATTTACTCTTTGAAAAATTTTCACTCTCACCAGCACTTCCAGATCTTCAATCTCTCACAGAAGGCAAGACAAACGCTTTTACTTCAAACAAAATTTAAAGAAACCACCAAGGGAACCCAGAATGAATCAGTCTGCCACTCCCTTGGTGGAGGGATCAGAGGTTACTTTCGTATCTTATGCATTGCATGCTTGATAATGGTAGTGGTTGGGCTATGGCCAAAACATGGTCTGCCAATGCTGCAACTGGGGGGTCTGGGGCATCGCTGCCATGAGCGATCCATCCAAGGTCCAGGTGGCAGTGACAGGGCTGTTCAGATTCCTGTTCTATCATTTCTGGATTGCCTATATGCAACAACTTACTTCATTGAACCTTAGAATCTTATCCTATTCCCCTCCCATCTCTGAACCAACTACACCAAATCCATGTTTGGTGGTCGGGGACGTGGGAGGACATGCTCTATTTTCATCAGGAGAGCAAAGACAACTTTGTGTTGCCATGACAAATCCAGGTCTAGTTGAGGGCCTACCCCTGGGGTCCCTCTGCCAAAAAGTAAGAAATGGGATCTTGAATTTGTTGCAATTAGTAACTTTGTTGTGAATAGTAAAAATTGAAGTCACAGAGGCTCTGACTAATTTTCTTCCCCAAGAAGGGCCTTATATTGTTGTCAATTACTTTTCATTTGAAGTCCAAAGAGAAAGGGGAATATTAAACATACTCTGGTCCATGTACAGTTCTATCCAATGAAGTTATTCCTTATTCTAACAAAAGTACTTGAAGAAAATAGCCCTCTTGTGTTTTAGGCAGTACTCCAGAACTAAGATAATTCCAGGAAGCTTGGAAATAACTGTTTCAAGGGAAAAAAGAAAAAAACCGAAAATACAGTTTTGAAAAGACTGTTGATGTCACTGTAGTTTATTGGGTAGATACAAAGTATAAGCTCTTGCATGTTTTTTTAAAAGCAAAACCAAAAGAAATTAGAAACCAAGCACACATAGTCTTTTAGAATAAAAACATAAATTAGTTTAACAATTAGGCACTTAAAATGTCAATGTAAAATGGCATTTTAGAAGTATAAACTGTGGTTACACTCCTAAATTCCTCCTGAAAAATTTTTGTTATAAACACAAAAACACAAACATGGAAAACATATAGCTAAACAAGCGAACAAAATCATAATAATAAAAAAAGAGCCTGAATTCATATCCCATATGATAGATGATCAACAAACTGCTGGGAAGAAGAAAAGAGCCTCTGAAATGTACATATTTGATTAAAATGTAAGCATTTAATAAAACTATTCCAATAGCATAGAGTAGATATCATAATGAAAAATATATGTCAGGAAAATAATGAATTCTACACTTAAAATTTTTACTTTACAACAAGGCACTTAACACATTGAACAGTACAGTAAATCTCCAAAAGAATACAGCTGGCTACCTCTCCAATCCTAACCAGACATCTGCAGCATCGATCATTGCATAGGAGGTAAATTAAAGAATGAATTCCAACTTGGCAACCAGATTAGCTTATTTTACAGTTTCTTCTTTGAAAAGAATTCCATAATAAAGCACTCGTTTCATTCAAGATTCATTTAGAGCACAGCACAGTTAGATTCACAAGTACTAAAATAAATCAGAATTTGTAAGGTGGACTATCTGTACAAAAACGCATCTTTGGGCACCTTCGACGTGATTTTCAGTGTTTGGGTACCGAAGACAAGAGCACTTCTTAATAGAAAAAATATTTGCAGCAACGGAGTCAAAGGAATTAAATTATTGCAACATCATGACATTAAAAACAAAAATCCCAGGAATCTTTCTACATAACAAATAGAAAAAAAAAAGTCTTCAACACATGGCCTCTAACTTACAAGATACTTGATTTAAACATGTAAACTCATTAAGAAATTCCTTCTCACACTTCATTACACTGCGAGGTGAGTGTGCTAAGACCGGCTTAAATCTGCATTCAGTTTTACAGTACAAAAAATAGACAACAAAATAAGATTCAAAAAAGCATATAAATATTTAAAGAACAAGATATGATCTTTCAATTAAAAAAAAAGAAACTGCCTGAAATGTAGCATGTAAATAAGAAAACCATTGGAAAGCCTGGTTTGATGTTCAGAGTAAACAAGTGGTGGTAGTTACAAAGGGAGACATTAATGATTGTGACAGGAAGAGGTAATTTGCAAATTCACTTTGATAAAATGGATACAAGATTAGATTTGCAACTCCATATAATCTGATCACATTTATCTTCTGCCAATGACTTAAAAGGCCTTTAAAATAATTTCTTTCACATGGTACTTTCAGATTATTGGCAAAAGTGAAAAACAAATGCCCTCAAAACACTTTAAAACGTGGGAATTGAGTTCCAAGTAAAGTAAATAAAATTGCCACAAGGGGGCACTGGTAACACAACCAAGAATCCTAATGCAATCCGACTGGACACTCTAGGCTCACTCCAAATGGCCTGCCTTCCACTGCATATCTTATTTCCCAAGATGGCAGTAAAATGAAGCAACAAATTCACAATTATTTCAGGTGACACTGGGAGAGAATACTTTATTTTTAGATCGAGTAGAAGAGCTAAAAAACTAGAATCATAGAGCTTCATTTCCATTGGAAGGAATTCAAGAAAAACTGTGGCATAATTTTGTTTCAGACATTTCACAGGACAGAATAACAGGTAAAGCTTTCAGTCGGAGCACAGGCCTGCAAGTACAACGCCACAGGTCAGCTCTGTGTCCTCACTGGCAAAGACAAGGCGCTCCAAGGACTGATGTTTTGTCAGCCAAACTGACATTTTGGGTTTCAAGTTACTATCTGTAAATGAATATCTCTTATTGTTCCCATCTTGAAACTTTGGTGTCTTCAAACTATATGCTTGACTTAGTAACTTGCTAGACAGCTATGACACCCGTGAAAAACAAGGGGGTGGAGTGTCCACAGACATGGCTTCACCAGTGTTTTTAAAGTTCTTTAAAAGGTGATGGTCTTGTGTTTGAAAAACAGGATGACTTGACCAAAATGCAAGGCTTACTGCTTCAAGGCGTTCAACAATCAATACACAATGATTTTTAAAGCTTCAACATTTTTCCTTATTCACTGGAAGGAAGGTGGTTTACTCTAAGACATGGCTAAATAAGACTCTAAGGCATATCAGATTGTTTTATTTGAATTAGAGGCTCAAGGAAAAAAAAAAAACTATGTTTGGAGAGAAAACCCCAAGAACAATATCAGATAAATTTCCTCATGATCACATAACGGCAATTGGAAACCCAGTGTTTTTGAGCAGACTGCCTTGTTCTAGCACAAGTGTCAATATTTAATAAGTGAGCACAAGCAAAAGATTGCATAGAATTTTGTCTAAAAACATCAGGAAAATAGATGTTTGTACTGGTTTATTTAATAAGAAACTGCAGAAAAATCCTTGTATTTCTAAGCCTGCCAAATAGGTGAAGGGCTTCAATTCTGCGTTAACACAATTACATTAGTCATTTCACTCTCGAATCAACTCTCCTTCCACTAGTGGCCCTCCTGTTGTGTAGACAGAACCATTTTGGAAACATGCACAGAATTTTAGCACCAGAGATGAGGACTCTTCTCCAGAAATTTGTATTGTGCTTTACTCAAGCAATTGAAAAGTTGATTTTATATAATGGAGGCTGAGAGGTTTATGAGGATTAATTTGGAATTTCCACGCTAAGGAAAAGGAAAGCTTCACCCTCAATGTCGATGTAATGCCCTTCCTCCACCTGCAGGGGCCGCTCCTTTTCTGCCTTAGTGGTGAAGACACTTTGTAACCTTCAAACTTTTCCCCCCCCCAGGTTACTAGAACTCTTGCAAATTAACTTTGTACTAGCTGGCAAATTAAGCCAAGAAATAGCCACAGGATTCCATGGCATGAAACAATGTGCTCATATGTGACCAGGTTACAAAACAATCTGTTGTGGTGCATCACCTCAAAGAAATTTAGAAAACAGTCACCCCTTTGCCTTGCAGCTACCTCAGCTGAATGCACTGATCCCAAAAGTATATTGTAGTGCAGCACCATGTGGGACTTGTCACGGGGTAGAAGTGCTCCATTGGGCTATATTGTCCTGGGGAACTAGTCCGGGGGAGGCTGAGTCTCTTGCTGAAAGGCATGGATACGTTAAGTGTTCAGGCTCCATCTTAGTTTCCCAAAATGTACGGTCAAACTAGCAAAGATCATTCTCAATGAAGCATGACCAATGAGAGGATTTAAAACCAGATAGGACGTGAGGACCTGACCTGGAAACACAGGCCTGCCCCTCAAAATGGCACGAACAGCAATTCGTGCATGTGTTCTCAGCTCGTGCTTGAGTGGTCGACAGTCCCTGGGGTACGGGTTGCAAACTGACCAAGCAGACAGCACCTTAGTGTGTGTGTGTGTGCAAGGACCACTCATGAGCAGAAAAATAGCCCCAGGTATCCTGAATATCTGTCTGAGATTTTAAAGTGAAATAGTGATAGGTGCAAAATCTATAGGGCATGGTAAATGCTTTCATACTTGCGATCACTCCCCCTACTTTTTTTTTCTTCAAAGTGAAAGTGTTATCTAGTGCCCTGGGTGGTGGCAGTAGGTGGGCGTTATTCCCCCAGACCTGACACCAATCCTTGCCTCCCGACAGCACTGAAACAAAACCCACAGTTCACAGACGGCCAGCTCATCGCCAAGCCTGATGTGAACCAGCATTCAACATTAGCTTATTCTGCCCATACATTGGCTGTATAAATCCAGGTATTTTATTTAAAACATTAATACATTTCTTCTGACCTTGGGAGGAAAATAAACCATGAAAAAATTCTGAAGTAGAAGGTTTAGTGGAAAAAGAATAAGGAAAGGAGCAGTCAGTTCTTTGGCACCTCTTTAACAAGCTCACTAGCAAAATCCCAGTTTGAGGGTTTGTCACCAGCCAATGAAGTGCTGCAGGAGAAGGCGTCTTTCTTGGGATGAATTAAAAAAAAAAAATCAACAACCAGTCCATGGTTAATACTTGGTTCACCTTGCTAATCGTGTACACGGAATTTGGTCCACTCCTTTATTTAGCAGTCAGTTCTCCTGAAATAAAAATATTAGAACTATACCTTTGGTTACAGCGCTCATTCTTTTGGTATCCAAGGGCTCATGCCTGTTGTCCTCAGGTCGATTTCTCATTCTCTTCGCCTGTCTTCTGAACCCGTGAATACTTCTTGCATGATGACTTGAAGCAGCCAGGCGGCCACGACAGTGGCCAGGAGAAGCAGCAAGGAATGGAGCCTTGGACGTTTTTCTCAAAAAAATAGAAGATGGGGAACCACCAGGCTCGAGATAAGAAATTGGTCTGGGAAGAGACCTTCAAGTTCTGTCAAATGGGAAGGCAAAGGCATAATGAAACATCTCTCTCCTGACCCGAGACCTCGCTTTCCTCAGTTCTCGTTTGTTGAACTGCTTCCAGGCCTTTTCCCTGCCTGCTCTGCCCCCTGGTCCCCTTCCACCCACGTGGGGGCTGTTCCTCTTGGCTCGGGCCATTTCCTCTGCCTTGGCTTCTTGGAAGGCTGGAGACTCAGGCCCAGAGGTGAAAGGTACTGAGGAGGAATGACTTAAGGCCCAAGCAGGATGGAAGAGTGTGAGGAGAGCTCAGAAGGCTGAGCATTCTAGAAGATGGACATGGTGGCTCTGTGGTACCAGGAGACCTCTACATGGAAGTGGAGGAAGAAGATCAAAGCAAGAGCCGAGAGAAGGGGAAAGAGTGCCAAAAGGAGGAGGTAGTCTTTGAGGGGGCGTTTATTATGGACCTAGGAGTTGGATGCACAGCCTATGGGAATGGCATATCCTGATTGTTCAGGAGTCTCCTTATCTGCACCACACAATGTGGAGAGTGTGGAGGTGAGGAAGCTGAGGGCACAGTCTGTCGCAGGGTGAGTGTGGGGGCCAGCTCTTCACGAATGAAGAAGGGGAAGGCACAGAAGCAGCAGAAGCGCAGAGTGAAGGGTCAGAGGGGAATCCAGGGAGCACCACGTCACCAGAAGATGAGGTGCCATGTGCATCGAGCCCCTCAGAAGCTCCTCTCCTCCAATCTACATGCCCTGAGGGCAAGGGGTGTGTCCTCCTGAGCTGTACCTCGAGGCTTCTCTACACAGGTGGCTCGCAAATTTCAATTCTGCATGTGTACAAAGCTTGGGGGGATCTTCAAAAAGTTCATGGAAAATGCTTCTCATAAAAAAAAAAAAAACCACACACAATTTCAAAAAAATCTTTACCTCAACACAAACTTCCCATCTAACTCCATTTTCCATAAACTCTTTGAAGTCCTCTCACCTTTCTTCCCTTTTTGCATCAATTAGTAAAATGCCATGCTCTATAATTTCATAATTTTCTCCTCTCAGGACACTTATTTCAAGCAGCAGCAGCGATGGCTGTAGGTTGAGGTTGAAGTATCCTCAACCACATATTTGGGCGACAACAACAGCATCTCCGATTACACTCTCCAAGGCCCCACCCTGAAGAAAAAGAGGACCCTCCCCCAGAGATCTGACTGCTCTCACCTTTTCATTGGCCATGGAGTGGTACCACCAAAACAGCCGAGTAGTGATGTAGTAAGCGATGATCACGTCGACAGTATAGTGTTCGTGTGCTACGAGGATGCAGATGATGCCAGCAGCACTCAGCAGCCAGCACAGTAAGTGATACCACCAGAAGTGACGAGGTGAATCTGGCCGGCAGAAAAATGATACTGTTAACGAGATTCCCACTGACAACTCCAGGCTGTCCTGCTGCCCTGAAGGAGACTAATCTTGGATGGCAAGTCATGGAGACAAGAACACTGAGTGCCCCCAAGGGAGTCTCTATGACCCATTCAAGGGTGAGTTTGGCGTGGACGCCGACAGAGAGGCCACACCTGGCAGCCTGACCCTACTCATGAGCAGGTGGGTGCTGTCAGAGGTACTACGTCTTGCCTATTGTGAGTAAGCAGTTTACTAAGAGGACAGAATTGCTTACAGTATTAGCTGGTGTGGACCTGGGATGGCTCTTACAAGACACCCTATTGGAAAGAAACTTAGGAGAGGGCAAAGGAAAAGAGAATTGCGTATGGAAAAAACAGGGGAAATGAGAAGGCATGAGTCCTTCCAATCAGATTTTCTTTGGTTTCTGTAGGTGTGTTGGGGAGGCAAGGATGGAGACAGCATTGTGCCTAGGAATCTTGATTCTCAGTAATTTTCTATGGTTCTTGCTAATAGCAACTCTAATGTACTGCCTATGGAAAGCTCAGGATTTCTGCTCATTGACTTACACACTTCTAGCCTTCCTGGGAGGTCACAAAGTTCATTCCACTGATGAACTAGCCCTGTAGTCCAGACACCTCCACCGCCCGGTCATGCCAGGTGTTAGTGACAGATCTCTTTGGAACCAGAGCTCATCTCTAATTACCTGGTCATCTGTTTCTTTTATTTTTATCTATTTTAGAGTTTTATTGGCTCATAGTAAGTTAATAATCTCCTAAGATGAAATTTATTTCGCATTTGATTGTGGTAAATTTGTAGTGATATTTGTAAACAACTACGGAAAGCTGGCTCAGTAGCAAAAAAGAATTTTGGACAAAATATCAGATGAGGTTCTCATTCAAATACAGACTACTTTTTGGTGAAATAGCAGTTGTTCTGTTGGTCCCAAGTGGGCAATAAGATAACAAACCTTTTTTGGTACACAGAAGTCTGATGTTCTAATTTTGGATATATTTCTCATTACTTCTTAAGTGCTTGATCCAATCATAGAGTTCTAGCAGAGAACTCAGCACCTTGGATTTAACACTAGAAGAAGTCTTACTGCTGTAGCTTGGGGACCAGTCTGTCACCATCATGTCCATTAAAAACAGAATTAATGGGGCTGCATTGTGGCATAGCCTGCTAGGCCTCCTCTTGGAATACTGTCATCCCATGTGAGCACTGACTCCAGTTATGGTCACTCTACTTCTAATATAGTTTCCTTCTGGTGCACCTGTGAAAGTAACAGAAAATGGTCCAGTGCTTGGGCCCCTGCTGCTCAAAGGGGAGACTCAGAGAAAGCTCCAGTCTCTTGACTTCAGGCTGGCCCTGTCCTGGCTGTTGCTGCCATTTGGGGAGTAAGCCAGCAGATAGAAAATTCTGTTTGTCTCTCTTTCTTCTCTTCCTTTTTCTATGACTCTGCCTTTCAAATAAAAAATAAACAAAAAATGGAACCAACACTTAGAAACTTGAAAATTTCCACTCTGTGCATCCTCCAGCACCACAGATACCTTTCCCTTAGGTCACACTAAGTTTGCTTCCCTCCTTATAGCTCATCTGGCATTTACCTAAAAAGTTCAAATCCTCAGAGGACTGGTTCCAAGGCACCTAGAAGCCAAAACCTACAGGTGCTCAAGCTCCTTATGTCAAAATCGTACCAAGGCACGGCTTGTAATCCCCTTGTAATCTCTCCAGGTTACCTGCAATATCTGAGAGAGACTACATGCCATATGAATTCCTGCTGGACAGTACTGGGTTAGGGGATGATGACAAGATAAAGGGCTCTACAATTACAGCACAGCACAGATGTAACCTCCACAGGGGTTATCACCTGGGACACTCTGCACCACTGGCTGGATCCACAGGGGAAGAACACACGGTTGTGGAGAGCTGTGCATTGTTCACCCTCTTGATTCACAGGAAGCAGAGCTGAAGGTGGTTGAAGGAGGAAGGCAATGGCCTGAAGAGTCATTTGACTTCCTACCCATGGAGTTTACAGGCAGTGTTTTTCCTTGAGGGGGTATTTTCTATTATGCTGCCACACTGGGCTCACTACTCATTCATTGAGAGCTTTGGCCAACCAAAGGATTTAACATTAGCTCTTCTGAAAGAGAAATGACAAAGCAGTAGTCCCCCATGTACTCTGATTGTACCCACAGGATAATACCAAGCCAAAAGATGACACACATAATACTTAACTACACTGCCTGGGTGGGACCCCAGCCCCTGTCGCCATCTAGTAACAGAGATAACAAACTTGGGGTAGTTAGAAACCCCCCAGACAGACACTTATTGCTAACAACCAGTGATAGAATTTGTACAGCTGTAAGGAGCTCTCTCTTATTAACCCACCAAATGATCCTGGGCTGGTGTTTTCACAGTTTCTCACAACTAAATCTGAATCTACCCACAACCACTGGGGAAACAAGGAAAGAACACAAACTGATCTAAGACAGGCAAGCAAAGACTATATACATGATGCATCTAATTGTAGAAGCAGACTTTTCAAAGAAATCACTGGAACCGTTAATTGCTTACTACATGGTATGATTTAGAAGACAACTGTTTCCCCTAATTGTGTACAGAACTATAAAGTTCAGTTTGTATTACTGCAGATTTTCCATCTTATGTCTCACCAAAAAAAAGAACCCTGTGGAAAGCAGAATACAATACTTCCCATTGCCTTATGTAAACTTAACACTATTTTTAAAAACCTCAAACCAAAATCATAACTTGAGGAGAAATGTCTCTCTATGCTGTGTGTCCTTCAAGCAAGTATAAACCTAATCACAAGGTGTCCCGCTTTTGCTTTGAGTTGAAAGAGCAAGTGATAGCAAACATTAGTGTCTGATTACAAAGAAGGACACCCTTGCTTGGCAATTTGGTAAGATGAGGTGCCTTGGGTTTACAGAAGCCCTCAACACAGCCAAGAAATGAAAAACATGTAACTTCATGAACCATACTGAGTAACTTTATGCTTAAGTTTCATTATCTGAAAAGTGAGAGTAAAAAAAGCAACAAGGACTCTGGAATATTCTTTCTATTTGCTATTAGTATAAATTACCACTTGATCTTCAGCTGTTTCCAAAATTGACTCAGTTTTTCTGGTGAGGTGAAGGGGGCCTCTCCTTCACTTTCTTATGGTTTTCAACCCACACTGCCTTCATTTTGACCTGTACTCTTCCCTACCCTCATTGCCATACTCCTGCATAAACTTTTTGCCTGATCCTCACTGGGGGGGATGCTCCTACTACTTGAATGTTCCTCTGGACTAGGAACTGCGTGGAATCATCCTGAGCAATAGTTAAGAGAACCATAAACGCCACATATGCCTCAGCACCAATAACATAGAAGTAGAAAGGCAGTGTGCTTCCAGTTAAGGAAGAGGGCAGTTCCTGGTGCTGCTGGACGCAGTGTGAGTAGTACCAGGCCTATGGAAAAAGATGCAGAGAACCCTCAGCTTGAGGTCAAGTTCGATGATAGCCCCACAGTTCATATGCTGTTCTTTCTACTGTGAGCTTATGGCTAGACTCTGTAAGAGATCTCAACTCCTTGCTATGCTGTCCTCAAAGCAGAACTTAAATCAAAATCTTAAGTCATCTGTTGGGCAAACACTGCCTCCTGATCACTGGAAGATGAACTTTTGATACCCCACTGCCATTCCAGCAGGCTAACCCTACTTGGATCACTAAATGGCCAAGACAACCAGGAAGACAAAAGAGGAAGCAGAGGGGACCTGCTTCTGTCAATCTCTTCCCAATATGCTTCAGTAAGACAACTCAGATCAAGCAAACAACACTGGCATGGGGCATGCTAGAACTAAAGATGAAAAGTGGACAATGACCAGCTGTTTCAAATATCAAAAACAAAATATTGCAGGATTTTGGAATCAATCTATAAAACCTCAGAAATCTGTGAAAATAGACGTGCAAGGCACCTAAACCAAGATACAACTCTTCAATGAACAAAGCCTTGTTTTGGCCATAAGGATTGCATTACTTGATTACATAAGGATGTTGTACATGGTGGGACTGAGTACATATACTCAGAAAGTGGTTTCAGCTTCGTGTCTCCATGTTTCTCGTAAGGAACACTATTGGCAAGATGTCCCAAGAAGATGTCTATTAGAAAGGGTAGAAGATGGCTGAAAAATCAGAAAACTGGAATAAAGAGGAAAGGTTTTTCAAAAGGTGAACACCTTAGCTGTACTATTTGGTATGGTGTAAGGGGATCTGTCATGCAAATAAATCAAAGGCCCACACAATGACTGTGACAATTCTTTCTCTAATAGCAACAGTTTCTTCTCAGTTTTGATAGTAAGAGAGTTTGCACACTTTGGGACATACTAATCAAGAAGGATGATGTGCCAAGAGGCATGCTAAATGCTACAGAAAAGCCATGGCTAGATTTTAAGACTACAGCATTCAAATCACATGACCAGTGGAAATGATTACACACACACACACACACAGCCCTACACCCCTCTGTCTCTCTCATATCCATCAAACCTAACAGAACAGGAACTTCCAGCACCTTCAGGGCCTAGGGATCCCACCCACTATAGCAGTCAGGTCAGTGGGAAGGAAGTACTACTTACATTCCTTGATGAACAAGTAAGTCAGTGTCAGCACAACTGTGTGGCCGCTGAAGAGGAAGTCTCCACACAAAATATGTGATCCAGTAATGGATAAGCCACCACCGGAGATCAACCGAAGAATCCGCTGTATTTTTGCCTGAGAGTCTCCATTGAGCTGAATGACACAAGATTGGGAAGAAAATCAAAAGGCTGATAACATCTCATTGCCATCCTGGTTGTGCACTGTGGTCATATTATGTGGCATCCACAAGGGTCACCAGTTGTGACCCTGCTCTCCCCCTTTTTAGCCCAAAACTTCAAAAAGGAATCGAAGGGGAGGCTCCTGAAACAGTGCTTTACTCAAAATATTGGCGAGTTTTATTGACATGTTTTGAATTATTCAATATGTTACTAATAATATGCGTTGGTGGTGTTGTGTCCTTGGGCAGAGCTTTTAAAAATATTAATAACCAATGACTTCATCACAGCCACACACTGAAATGCAGATGAAATCTACTTTCTTTCCTTTTGGCAGAGGGAAGTGAGGGTTTGGGCCTGTTAATATTTTATTCAGCTGCATACCACAGTGCTAATCTACAGTGTATTGGGATCTGGAATTAAGTGGGAAGCCTCATGTGTACATATAAATGTATTACTGTCTGATCGAAACATTTACAATTTAAAATAGGAACTACTCCATATTAAGTAACTGAAATAGGTTTGAAAATGATGGATTTGAGGGAATACTGACAGCTTTAACAATGAGCAGTTTTCATCAGAAAAAGCATCCACCAAAGAAATAACCTGTGCATTGCAGCAGGGACAAAGGAGAATGGTTTTTCGGAGAAGCTGTAGAACAGAAGACGCAATGATGGGCCTGGGCAATCATGAAAAGTTTAAGCCCTACTAAAAAGTAACTGGAGAGGGAGGAGTTGGTCAAAATGGTAGGCATGAAAACCTGGAATACAGAAATGTTAGGGAGTTGGATGGAAGGTTGTGGATCAGAATTAAAAAGTTAAACAATTTGCCATGGTGATGTCCACATCCCTGTTTCCAGGTCTAGCTTCCAGCTAATGCACACACTGAGAGACATGGGTCATGGTCCATGCTGTTAAGTTCCTGCCATCCATGTGGCTCCTTGCTCATGGCTCTACGCTGACCCAGGTTCTATTGTAGGCTTTTGAGGAATGAACCAGAAAACAGGAGATCTCAGCCTCTTTGCCTTTCAAATAACTGAGTTAATTAAAGAATGATACTTGGGCAAATATATGATTTTGTACATGGAAGACAAATATAGGATGGCTATAGCTGGCTCGTTGATTGGGACTTAGGAGCACAAGTGACATGCTGCCTTTTACATTCAAACACATTGCTTTTCAGCAACTGGCCCCTGTTTCCTGGCTAATCCAGGCTTGATAGCGGTTAGCCTGGCAAAGAGGACAAGGCTGTGTCTTGTCCACCTGCATGCATAGTGGTGAGGGAAAATAAGGCCTGTGGGTGATAAAGACAGACTCTGGGAGTACAGAAGTTAAGTCAGCCCCAGAGCAAGTAGAAAACCATCTTAACCAGTACAGCAAGCAGTTCATTGCCTAAAACAACCCTCTTGGGGCACCTAAGAATGTCCTGGTTTTAAAAACATTAGATGGAAGACTTGTGTGTGTATGTGTGTGTGTGTTTCTCCCTGTCTATCACTCTGCTTTTCAAAATAAATAAAGCTACAAAGAAGGACAAAGGAAAAAAATGTTTGCCAGTGGTAGGCACAGTGTAGTAAAGTTGACAGCATCCCATACTGGAACACTGGTTTAAGCCCTGGCTGTCCTGCTTCCAATCTAGATGTCTGCCGATGTGCCTGGGAAGTCAGTGGAAGATGGCCCGAGTGCTTGGACTCCTGACTTCTGCCTAACCCAGCCCTGGTTGTGTGTGTGTGTGTGTGTGTGTGTGTGTGTGTGTGTGTTTCTTCCTGTTTCTCTACTGCTTTCCAAAATAAACCTACAAAGGAAAAAGAAAAAAAAAAGTTTGCCAGTGGCAAACTAGAGGCAAAACCACAAGAATGTAGGTAAATAAGCAAGAGTAGACAGTCCTTAAATGAAATGAACCAAGCATAACAGGTGATCTGCCAGGAAGAGACTGGATTGGGAAAGCAATAAAGATGATACCCAATGAAGACAGGAGGCCTGTATGTCACCAGAGTAGCATGACTCACTCCAGGTACATCTCAGAAAAGGTAGATGACCAACTCCATAATGTGATGCACCCTTGACATGTAGGATGATATCAAGCCATGTGCTTGATCACATCAGCCACTGTCCTTCAGGAGCCCCTTGTCACTATTTGGTACATGCAATTATGCACAGTGGAAACAGATAAAATGTGTGTACAGTCTGCCTAACCAATGTGTTCCCAGTTTAAAAAGAACACAGTATTCCCCACTTCAAGACCATAATTTGTTACTTACTCACCCAAGCTAAGTCTTTAATTTCTTAAGTATGTAAAGACTTAAAAGCCATCAGTCCCTTCCTTTGGGGTCAGATGGATTCACAGGTACATAGAGGAACTGAAATAAGCCATTTATGTTCCTTTCTCCTTGCTTCCTTGTCAACGCTGTTCATGGGTGACAGTTCTCCCTGATCCATAGTTTTTCTTTCCATGATTTTTAGCTATTTCTGGCCAGTTGTGGTCTAAAAATATTAAATGGAAAATTCCAGGAATAACACAGCTCATAGCCTTCACATAACTTCTACAATGGTATTGTTACAATGGTCCTATTTTATTATTGTTGATAATCTCTTCCCATCACCAATATGTGAACTCAAGTATCACAGGTATAATGTGTAAGGAAAAATTGCACCTACATGGGTCAATATTATTTTCACTCAGTTATTCACTGGGAATCTTGAAACATAATGACACAAAGAAGTCTTATTTGAAAGGCAGAATGACAAGGAAAAGAAAGAAATATGAGGGAAAGATCTTCTCCTAGTCATTACCTAAATGGCTGCAACAGGCAGCATGGAGTCTGGGTCAGGTGAAAGCTAGACGCCTGGAACCCCAGCTGGATCCTCCATGTGGGTGACAGGAACCATCAATGGATGTTCTTCCAGGTGCATTAATAGGACACTGGTTTGGAAGTGGGGTGTCACACTCTAACATGGCATGCCAGCATTGCAAGTCATGGCTTAGTCCACTGTAGTATGCCAGTCCACCATTGCCATCTTGAGATGTTAGATCATGCGTTGTATAAATGCTAAACAGAGCCCCAAGAGAAGGGAGTAGGGGGAAAGAAAAGGTCAAAAAAAAAAAAAAACCCAGGAAGAGAGAAAGAGAGTTCTTGTCTAATAGAAGTTTTCCCTCTTTGTTTTTCAGGCCACTGGGATCACCCATGATAGATCATTTAAGACTCTTGGTTTTCCGATTTTCCTATTTCAGATGCCATGTATCCTGTTACTGACATGGGACTGATATACAAACCTAAGAGTACAGCAACAGTGCAAACAAGCAGAGTGGACAGGATTGGTGTGACTGTAAAGTTTCCTCCAGCTGGGACCTCCATGCACCATTTTCCACAAAAACAAATTGGGTATAGGAGAACCCAACACAGCTACTGCCAAAGAAAACCCTTTCCAATTATACTGTTCCAGCAAATGATGAAGTATGGTGGACATCTATCAACAGAGAGACAGATGGACCCCAAAAGCTTCCTCAGGAAGAGACATGGTGCTATTGCAGGCAAATATTCTTCCATGTGACAAAGTAAGTTTGAAAAGCTAAATAATTTCATTCATTACGTCATAACAAGTGGATCACAATTTCTCTAAAAAAATTTTTTTGAGTGCACATCAATGCTGGATTTTGTGGTGGAACCAAAGGACTTAGAGTAAGCGATGGTCAGGCCAGTTTTTTTTTTTTTCTTTTTTTCCCTCCTATTGGTCAAGATGCTAATGTCCCTGACTGAGGTCCCTGGGTTCCATTATCAGCGCTGCTCCCAATTCTAGCTTTCTGCTCATCTGCACCAGGAGAAGCAGCACGGGATTGCTCAAGTATTTGGGTCTCTGCCATTCAGCAGAGACTTGGATGGTGTTCTCAGCTCCGGGCTTTAGCTTAGTCCAGCCCTGGTCAGTGCAGGCATTTGAAAAATGAACAAACAATAGGAACTTGCATGTTTTTTTCTCTCTCTCTGCCTTGTAAATTAAGAAAAGTGGGTGGTGGTGGTAGTAGCACAGTGGCATAGCACACCAATCCTCTATCTGGCACCTGCACACATGTAGGAGACTTAGAAGAAGCTCCTGGGCTCTCAGCTTTGGATCAGTCCAGCTCTGGTTGTGACCATTTGGGGAGTGAAGAGTAGATAGAGGATCTGTCTCTGTCTCTTTCTCTCTCTCTCTGTGTAATTGTTTCAAGTAAAATAAACCTTTAAAAAAAAGAAGGGTGCACAGACTTTCTCAGGGAGACAACCATGAAACTGTGAGTCACAGATGTCACCGTAACGACTCTTAGGACATCATACCTGGTGAGTGACACGTGGCAGTAGGCTTCTATTACTAGATCTGGCACCTCAGCACACGTTTCCATGTGCAAAGCTCTGTCACTGCTGGTAGTCATGAAGGGCATTCTACAAAGTCAGCCACACAGGACGCAGGTAGAGTCTCTAATGGTTTTGTAACCACAAAAATCTCAGCAGCACTCAAAGCCAGCAGATGACCCAAATTTAGAACAAACACCATTGTGTTCCTGTTCTGTGAACACCACATCACCTCTAGTCAAACAAAGTGACTGTTATTTGTTTTCCTGAACCACAGTTCAGGCGCCCATAACCTGCTTCTGCTTCAGGAAGTGGCTCTGACAACTGAACCAGGGTCATGGGTTGTAAGGAGATGGTCTGTTTCCATGACGGGCAAGGGCAGCTTGGTGATCTAGGGGACATGCTGACTCATGTGGCTTTCAAAAATGGCCACCCTTCCACAGCTGATGATCTTGAATTTACTTTCTTTTCTGTAATCACAGCAATTCATGCCTCCAAACTTCACCCCGCTGCTAGACTGGGCTGTCCTCCCTTTCTGCAGCCACCTCTCCATTTAACACATGGCAATAGCCCATTAGTCCTGTTTGTTATACTTCTGAACTCCTCCCCTGCCCTAAATTAGTTTCACTCAAAATCAGCCAATGTTTAAATTCAATATGTACACTGTTTTAATTACAGGCACTTTCTGCTTTGATGGCTTTGGAAAATTACAGCTTCTCCAAACCACACCTATATTTGGTGAGGGCGACTGCTGGCTTCTCCTGAGCCAACTATTTCTCCTTCGCTGCACATATCTGCTTAGTGTTCGGCAGTTCAGTGGGACATCATTCCTTTGTCCAGAAAGCATGTGATCTCCGAGTGTTCATTCTCTAAACCGTGGTGTCCTGGGGTCTAAGATGGTTAATGGCTCTTTCAAAAACCAACACTACCTAGAGGAACTGGAATTCCTGCTTCAGAGGGCTGTAGGGGCCCTTCTATACTGCATCTCAGCAACCAGTCACTCCAGCCCAACTTCTAAGAACTGCAGGTCACCCTCCACAAATCTACAGGCAACTTATCTGCACATCTTGTCGCCCCTTCCTTCCAAATGTGTCTGAAATCAAATAACTGATCCCTCGCATGACCAAGGGTCCCACTGGGGAATCTGCGCTCTACATTCACATCTCTGGCCTCCCTGTTCACTCTTGAACTTATTGTGACTAAGCTACTCTCCTGGCCCTAAGCTTCCATCCCAGCCACGTGGTCATTCCCTTGCTTGCTTCTTGCCCACATGTTTGCTTGCTAAAGAAACATTCCTGACTGTTAGATAAAATGGTCCCTACCCTCCTCCTCGCTGTCACCTTCACTCAGCTCTGCTGTTCTTCATGTGATGATCACGTGGCTCATCACCACGGGACACACTAAGATTGATCATTTGTCATTCCTCAGAAAAACAGAAGATCCAGGAGAGGGACTTGTCGTGGTTCCTACAGTGCCTGCTACAGAAGAAGCCTTACTCATTAGATGAATGCATGAATAAGTCAATGAGGCAGAAAAAAGCAGAGCCAAGCACCCAATGGTAATTTTTGGTTAGCAGCAAGTGAACATTTTTGCACAGAGAGGTATTCATTTTTATGTACGCATTCTAGTTTCTCTCCCCAAATCTATAGAAATACGTTCATCTCAGTGAAAACGAAGTGTCTAGAAGAATGTATAATACAAAGTGTTCAATACCATTTCCTTGTTATTTCTCTGCACAGGTATTTGGAGGTGCTTACCTTGGGAGCACACTGGAAATGCATTCCAGGCACAGGGAGAGTAGTAACGTACATTGTGATACAGCGATACAGGTACAAAGTCCCAATGATAAAAAAGAACCTGCGCCCCACGATGGACCTAAGGGAAAAGTAGGGAGGGACAGAAACAGGTTTACCAGTTGTTTTTGCGCCTACTGTAATACAGGCCAATGCTCTCCAGGAGAAACTAATTACTGCAGAATGGCACCAACAAACAAGCCACAGCTAAATGGAGTTTAAAGGCTTGTTTTAGAGCTGCCCCAGCCCTGTGATTCCATGCAGGGAGTGCACTTCAGTTTCAAAAGAAACAAAGAGTCATCAATCTAGGTGGTTTAGCACCCCCCAAAATAGGGAGTGTGTTGGAATTGGGGTGACTAAAGCAAACTCAGTGTAGAGTATCACCTCCTCTGAGAATGACACTCTTGGCCACCACTCTGCATGTTCACTCAACCTGTTCTAATATTAATAACACCCTCTCTTGAGAACATATTAAAGGTAGGAGAACGCCATGGTCCCAGAGGAATTAACTAATGAATGGAGCTGCTATTACATAATTGGACAAGTAGGGAAGTGTGACAGGTCATTTAACCCAAGTTATGAAAGCAAGGTTTATTTGGGAACCATCCAAACGGACTTTGACGACCGTGGCACCAACCATTTTCTCAATGACTAAATAGATTTTTCAGAGAATTACACCTATGATGTCCAAACGGTCCTTCACATTGAATAGTAAGGTTGTAAACCAATTTATTTTATTTGATCTTGATCCCAAAAGGCAAACACAAAAACAGGGAAACAAACCAAATGACCCACAAGTTCATTTTCACTTTAAGTTTTTGTGGAGACAGTTGTTTCAGCTGCCATTAGCCCGCATGCTTCTTTATCTGTGCACGTGTGGACAGCTTTCAGTCAGCAGGCTGTGCAAGCACTTTGAAATCATCTGGTCTAGCCCCGCCAAGCAAGGCAACTACAAGTGGGACTCAAAATTCAGTAAGTTTACAGCAGGCTATTCTTTTAAAGTTGTTCATTTTTTTTTATGGACCCACAAATGATGCCACGAATACCCAAATGGCACTTGGCAAAAAAAAAAAGATTCACCAACCCTAGAACAAGGTTCCGAAGGGTTCACCAGTTACACTAGGCCAAAGGCTCTGCTCCTGGTACCACCTGCCACCTGGGGAAGCACCAGAGTCTCCTGAGTGTCCATCCCTTCCAAACATTAGTTGTGTGCTCAGGTTTAGAAGCTCTATGCTTTGTGAGATCAATGGATGAGTGGGATTCAATTAAGTCCATATAACTGCCAGTTATAACTTTTTAGGACACAGAAACCACTTCAGGTCTCCTCTTATCAGAACTCTCACATTTTCGAAGCCAGTCATGATCAAAGACTCCTGGGAAAATAGGCTGTTCCAGGCATGTGACATATAACACTGGATAACACTGGGTTTTCTTCAAGACTGTGGTTCTGACATGGATCAGGTCTAATTCAGGTAACTGTTTGGACTTCTAAGTTAAGCAGTTACATACAAATCCATATTTTAACTGTGTGTCTCCAGTAGTTATTTTAAGTACTGCAGCAAAACAAGAATTAGAATAAAAAAAAAAATTAGAGATGACCACTACCCATGGTCACTCTAAGGCTTGCCTTCACCAAATCTCTGAATGATGAAAGTGTTCCTTTATTCCAAAGACATTTCTTTCAAAAGTCTGTTATTCTAGCTCTGTCTTTTCTAGGGCTAAAAAGGAACAGGTAACAAACAGTTCTGAATGTCTCCCCTTGGTTAAGGGAAAAAAAACCAATTTACCTTCAAGCTCCAAAGGAGGGCTGTTTGGAATCCATACTCCATGCTGTTTGACATAGTGCGGTAATAACAGGGAATTATTATGAGTCAATTATATTCATTCCAGCATTCTGAGTTCAGCTGTACACACAGCAGAAAATGAACTTAGGGGAAGCAGGCACTCTACAGCCTTATTTAGAAAAAGCACTATGACTAATAATTTTCTCCATAGCTTTGAAAGATGCTTTTAAAACCAGTGAGTGAGCAAGCTGGATTCCTCAGTCGGCTGGGATGTTCAAAGCATGTTTGGAGATTTATTCTTCTAGTTAAAAATACCAGAGCCAAACCTACTGCAAGCTAACAAGGCAAACTCATTTGATTTGTGACTTTAAGAACGGATATCATTCGGATGCATGGCCCAGTTAAGTGACCGAGTTTTAACATGGAAAAATTTATGGTAATAATGAAAAGGCAGTTCATAATAAACACAGCAGTGAAGATTCAAACAAACTGAGGTGTTGGGAACATCTGGTCTAGAGGTCTCATACACTGATGGGATGACAAAATTCCATATTGTGATTTTTGGGTTTAAGTCTCAGCTCCATGCTAAAACATGTCCTATGAGGCAGTGATATTGGAGCAAGTACTGGATTCCATGTGGGAGACACGGATTGAACCACTAATGTGTCCTAGACACCTGGAGAGTGAACCAGTGGTAGAGGATATTTCTGTTTTTCAAATAAATAAGCTAATTTCTTAAAATTAACTAAGAGGAAGATTGTACTTTGGAATGGAGTCTAGCTCCATGTCATGGGACATTTTTTTTTCACACATTTTTGGATAAAATGTTGCTGCAAATTAAAGGAGAAAGCAAACATCTGTGGCTTAAATAAACCTTTTAGACACTGAGAGGACAAACACTAACATTAGATTCTTTACTTTCAGCATCAAGCATGCCACATGTATCCTTAAACACATTGGGTTGTGGAAACATACTAAGAGGATTATGTTAAAGGAAAATGCTTAGGAGTGACTTTGGGTTTTCAAAACTTCCAAATTATATTCACTCCTACTCCAAAGCAATAATCAAATGAAAGAAAATTGGGCATAAATTCTCTCATCCAAAAAAGATCCTGTGGCACTAACAACAAAATTCTGAGATATAATTTTCCAGTTGGGCTGACACACATCTTATTTGTTAAAGCCCCGGATTATAGGTAATACTCTGATCAAATTCCTGTTTTGCAATTTAATTCCTAGCATCCTGGTGGGAGGCAGACATCTGAATGATGAATGAAATGAAAAGAAGCACTGAAGGGCTTTTGTTTTCCTGGAGTAGAAGTCAGGACTCAGAGCAGCCCAAACAGCCACTTCAAAGCTATGGCCAAGTTCTAAGTATCTGCAAGGCAAAGGCACCTGGCTTGCATGGGGGCTGAAGCCTGAGCCTTTATACCACAAACTCCTTTAGGGCGCTGAGGGAGAAATTTTAAACCCAAACCCTATGAATGCCATTCTAAATTCAGTCTCTTAAACAAACCCTTACAACTAGAAGGGCCAACATGCAGGGGATGTAAACCCTAAAACGGAGACTTGCTAAAGAACAGCATGCTTTAACGCAGACTGCTGATCAAAGCCTGTCACACAGCCATCACGTTTTGAGTAATGGAGAAAAAGTATCCCAGTCTGGTCCTTTCCCCACCTGCTGAGAACCTGAAATAACAGAAGCAGGAGGAGCTGAATGTTTCCAGGCCTTTCCAGACTCCTGAATTACCGCACAAGTACCATGGTGCCAGGTTACCAGAGTTATGGCTCAAATTCACACCCTTGAAATCACCTGCCCTAGAACTGGCAGACCCTTGTCACTTTCACACAGTTAGGAGAGTCACTAACTCTGAGTCACGGTAGCACTAGTGGACCCTGCTACTTCCATACCTAGTTACTCCGTAAACATTCATCAATTGATGAATATGGTCACTCTAAGGCTTGCTTTCACCAAATCTCTGGAGGGCATTGGATTTAGCAGAAAAGCCTGGGCAATACTATCTTGATTATATTTCTACTCACTCAAAAGCAACAGCAAACCCAAAAGACACATTAGTTCTACTTACTTGTATCTTAGAAACAGCCACTGGGTGATCCATAATCCAACTAATATCATCCCATTTATTTCTGATACAGAAAATGCCCATTTCACCCGATCAATGTAATCAAAAAACTTGTCTGGCAGTGGAGGGCTGAGCTCCTTGGGAGGGACCCTCTCGTGCACGACTGTGATCATGACGGTGGTCAGGACGAGGTTGAAGAGTGCGTACACAAACGCGATGCCCGTTTTCCACCATTCCAGGGGAAACTTATTCCTAGACTCAGTGGGCATAGCAATCTGGATATAGTCTGGGTACTTCTTGGCACCCTTCCGCAGCCCATTGGATAAGCTCTTGGGTTTCCCGTTGCCATTTTTGCTTTCTTCTTCAGCAGGTTCAGCAGGTCTCGTGTATGTGTTGGCAGGATCGTTGGTCTGATTTTCCATATGTTCTTCAAGTTTTGCTGTCTCTATGATATCCATTGTTCCCCAGCGTTCAGATCAAAGAGGAGATGGTGATGTCCTTGTTCTTCATGAAAATTTAACCTTTTGTAATCCTTCTGATTCCAAGATCAACATGGACTCTTATAACTGATTTTGTTTCCTAACACAAAACAAAGATAGCCATCTGATTATTGTTCTGAGGCAGCTAGCTCTTGTACATCCACAATACTCAGGAAAGGAAGCCGATTCTTCTTTCCTCCAAAAGATGTTACTCTTCCACCTGGAAACAAAACAAAACTCTGTTCAGAAACTGTGCTTGTCCGATTGACAGCCATCCAAAACAAAACAGCTTCAGCATAAAGAGACCAATACCCAAGCCTTTAGCTGTCAAATATATATCTAGTCAGAGCACAGTTAAAGCTGCTGAGATCAAGTGTATTTACAAACTATTCAATGGTTTTATCTTGGAATTCTTATTTCTTTTTCAGTCGATGTAATGTAAATAGGAACATTTTAACATTCAATTCTGTTCAAATTTCTTTTAAATAAAAATCAGGCTCCAACATTGCATGGCCTTCCTTAGATCCCATTACTGTTGGCTAACCATGAAGTCACAATAAACTAGAACCTGCCCAGAGTTCACATCACTCCTTTCCAAGACTCTATCTTTTCTATGGTCCTTAGAGAATGAAGAGAAAATTCTGGTGAGTTGCTGACATGCATGGACCAACTGCTAACTCTCTGCATGTTTCCCAATAGTTTGTTCTTCTGGAAATAAATGGACCCTGACAGCTTTTTAACAACATGTTTGAGAGCAACACACAACATAGATTTGAAACACACTGCCTCAGTGATCCCTCATTCTCTGGAGATCTGCACTATACTCAAGGGAAGTTGTAGGCTTCAAAATCAGGAGAGACAGGTGAGTGCTGAACTCTGTCTCCTGTAGGCAGATTCACCAGCTGAATAATAAAGCCACTCGTGACCATCAGCACGGTAAGTTACAAGCATTCTGATTCATTTCTCCCCAACTGACAGACACAGGCATGCAGCTGGAGACCCTCACTCACCATTACAGGATGGGCCAGGGCATCGCCGGCTTATGCTTTCCGCAGATGAGGCTTCTGCCTGACCAGCACACAGCCCTGTCATGGCCTCTTTATACTGGCCAGTGCCCCAGCCCCAGCTGGGCTCAATTTAGGAGAGTAGTATTTTAGTCATGCTCCAGAACCTAGGCACCTGAAGAGGTTTTCAAACCTCGTAATTAGTCTCCACCCTGAGCGCACCGCACAACCCAAGCCTCTGTATCTCAAAGGCTTCCCTGTTGGGGCAACTTCAGAGAGGAAAAAAAAATGAGGAGGAGGATCGATCCAACATGGGAACAGCTAAGACTCTATTTAGTGAAAGAAAAGGGGAAAAATGTGAAAATGGCTCAATCAACACGTACAAGCAACTGCAGACAGATCAACTCTTGCAAGTGGTTTATTGTGTACCTGAAATGTCCCAGCGCTGAGTCCTGTGGGGCAGACTGATCATTTCAAAGGAGTGTCAAAACAGAAAAAGCTGACTTGGACATGCTGCCAAATATAGCCAAGAACAGCAGTCCCACAGGAGAAGACTGCCCACACCACTGTGCCAGGGGAGAACTCGGGTGGGTGGCGACTCCAGCCTTGCCCCCTCCAACATGTGGCTACACTCAAGCACTGTCCATTCTGAGAAAGCCAAAGCCGAGGACATGCTGGCTTGGTGGAGACCAGGTGGCTGTGGGGCAGGGGGTGGCCACAGGAGCCTGAGACTGGCTCAGAGATGTCACTGCGGAATTCAGTCATCTCACCTTTCGCTGGTCCATTTAAGGTCCCAGCTGTGACCACCTTAGGACAGGCCGAGACAGGCCCAGAGTCCCTCTGAACTGACAGATGATTCTTGCAATGCCCCTTCTAGGGCACAATGCTGTAAGTGGGGAAGAGAATGTATTTTTTTCAACACCACACATGGACTACTTTTGCTGAAGGTACCGAAGCTCTAACTCAGCCATTGCCTTTTGACCAACCCCAGCCTAATCCACTGGTAGCATCTGACCAAGCTACCATCCAAATTCCTTTCCATTTCACTCTCCTGTGTGCTCTCGGCTGCTATTTTTATGAAAAAGAAGCCTGTGATGTTTAAAACCCATATCACCAGAGGATGTAGATGGTCTTTCTAGGGTTCTAGAACACAGAATATAGAACAGCAGAAAATTCAATTAGTAACCGTGTGCTTTTTTTCTTTTAAGGAGGAAGCACTCAGAAGCCATTTACCTCCTGGGACTCCAGGAGGATGAGTGAAATCATTATTCCTGAAGAGCTTGGCATCTTGGGACCGAGAGCATTCCGAGAGGCCCATGCCTGTTCATCATCACCCGCAGTAGCATGGACGCTTGCCTTGGGATTTCATTACAAAGATTAAATAGACACAGCACATTTGCTTCGTGACAATCTATCCCGGACACAAGGCTTATATCAAGATGCCGATTTAGACATACTCGATCCTGTGGTCATTCTTTTGCACCAGTGTCTTGGAAGCTGACAAAAGCCACAAGAGCAGGTGATGATGTCATTGGTTCCCTTGTTCAGACTACCATGCCAGAGCCCAGGTGGGCATGGTGGGCTTCTGATGTTGCAAAAACACTACTGCCTGAGAAAGTACCAAAAAAGTTAGAGAGCTCTGCAGACTCTTGTCCTTCTGAAAACAAAGACAAAACACAGAAATCTCTAGTGCTCTGATACAGCCTGGGTTTTTATTTGGTTTTGTGTAGAGCTGTATCTGATTTATTCCAGAAATGTGAGATTTAAAGTTAAGAAATTGTTATAATACAATATATCCTTTCATGGAACCACAGGTTGAAACAGAAGATATGATTATCTTGGAAAAGCCAGAAAGGAATCTGACAAAATTCAATTCCACTTGGGAGCTGGCAGGCAGGGGTGTGGTGGGGTAGGTGGCTATTCAAGAGAAGGAACAGAAGGACATAGAGCTATGATTTCAGTGTCAACATCACAGTGTTAGGTGTGTGATCTCTGTTCTCATATCTGGTGGAAACTTAGCTGCAACTGCTACTCTTGTGATCCTTAAGTGAACCTTAGAATCAAAATTGTCAAATTAGAAAACTATGATGCAGACTAAGATACCATTTTGCTTGCTTTACTCTTCTCATTTCTACTATTCAATACTCTTCTAGCCAATCAGCCAAGGCAAGAAAAAAGAAAAAGAAATCACCAAAAGGCAGAAAAGAAATGCATGTTAAAACATGTACATAAAACAAAATATGAGCTGGAAGGCTATGTTCTGTTTACAAAGTAAACACATCCAGTTACAGCACTTCCTTACAGAACCAGTAACAGTCAATGAGAAAGCCTAATAAAAATACAGGCACATACTTTACTATTACTTATTCATATAGCCACTACACCAGTGACAGAAAGGCCCCCAAAGCCTAAGAATGAAAAGAAAATGCTTAGAACTTCCATAATGGAAGCCATAAAAAAGCCGTTGAAGATAAACACAAAGCTATATCATATTCACAGGAAGTTAAGATGTTATTACATAAGAGTTTGATCTTATATATCAAATGTATTAGCCATTTTCTTCAAACACCAGTGGTATTTTCCCTGTAGTTCAACAAAATGATGAAAGCCCCCAGGGAATAAAAATGGAGGCAACAGCTTTGTACCACTAGATTATATTACATGACTAATGTTGGGGAAAGGCATTTTTTTTAAGTTGGAATAAAAGCACAGAGTCACTCTGAATTTCTCCTAAGGAAATAAATGGCAGATAAAATATTTTTTTAGATTTATTTATTTTTTTATTATTTTCTTATTGGAAAGGCGGATATACAGAGAGGAGAGACAGAGAGGAAGATCTTCCGTCCGATGATTCACTCCCCAAGTGAGTGCAACGGGCCGATACTATGCCGATCCAAAGCCAGGAGCCTCTTCCGGGTCTCCCACGCAGGTGCAGGTTCCCAAAGCTTTGGGCCGTCCTTGACTGCTTTCCCGGGCTACAGGCAGGGAGCTGGAAGGGAAGTGGGGCTGCCGGGATTAGAACCGGCGCCCATATGGGATCCCGGGCGTGCAAGGTGAGGACCTTAATCACTGCGCCACCACGCCGAGCCCCAGATAAAATATTTTTACAACTACTAAAAAAAATTTATGTATTTGAATGTCAGAGTTACAGAGTAGGACAAGCGCGCACGCACACACACACACACACACACACGTGTACACATGCCACACAGATATCTTTATCTCCTAGTTTACTCCCCAAATGACCACAATGACTGGGACTGAGCCAGGCCAAAGCCAGAAGCCCAGAATTTCATCTAGATCTCATTCATGGGTGCAGGGACCCTAGGACCTGGGCAATCTTTTTCTCCTTTCTCAGTCACATTATCAGGAAGCTGGACTAGAAGTGAAGCTGGTGCCCATAGAGGGTGTCAGTATCACAAGCATCTAGCCCAATCTTCTGCACCACACGCTGGCCCACAGGAATGTTTTCAGTAAAGAAAATTAGAAACAATCTAATAGCTAAGAAAAGCAGATATGAATTAGTTTTCATAATGTTACAGAAAATTATATAGTGAGATTATAGCTATAAGTATTGTAAGGTAGATATGTAAGTAATATAAAGGAAGAATGCAGCACACAATTAAATAAAAACTTTAGATAGCAAATGTAGAATCACAATCATTCATAAGCAGTTATGGCTTTTGGAAAAATAAAAATGGGAAAGGGGTCCTGTAACACATACTGAAGGCTCAGAGAAATGGCGCAAGTATGAAGCACTTGCTTGGTGAGTGTCCCACAGCAGAGCCAAAATGCAAGGAATGAAGCTGAAGAGGCCCCTCAGAATGATGTGAGTTCAAGTCCAAAAGCCCTGTTGGTGGGTACTGTTGAATAAATAATGCATTAAGCCACTGCCTGTCATGCCAGCATCCCATAAGGGCGTTGGTTCAGTCCAATCCAGTACCCTGATAATGTATCTGGAAAAGTAGCAGAAGATGACTTGAGTCCTTGCACCCATGTGGACAACCAGGATGATGCTCTTGGTTTTGGCTTGGTCCAGTCCTGGCCCCTGTGGCCACTCGGAGGAGCAAATCAACTTAATGGAAATCTTTCTTTTTGTGTCTGTTCCTATCTCTGTAACTATTCCTTTCAAATAAATAATAAATATTCTTTTACAAAAAGAAATGTTTTGCTTACAAGATTTGTAAACCTCCTGAGTAAGGTATCTAAAGTATTT